CGGGGACGGCGCCTCTGGCTCGGCACCGACACGACCTGGTGTGTTCTCTCGCGTACAGATGCCATCTCCTCCGGGGACGACGAGGACGACGCCGACGGCTCCGAGGACTTTGCCAGCGAGAACAGTCACAAGAGTAAGTAACGCGGCCCCGCGAGGAGGCCCCGCGAGGAGCGCCGGCCCCCACCGCCTTCCTGCCGCTGCTTCGCGATGCTGCGCCCCCTTCTCCGCTGTGTCTGCTCTCCTGGCTCTCAAACCTGCGAATAAACCAGTCTCACTGCGCACCCTCCTCCGCTCTCTGTCTTTCTTTCCGGCCCGTGAGCCGCTCTCCCGGAGGCTCGGTGACTTCTCTCGGTTTCCTCTGTCCCTTTGGCGTCGCACACGTCGCCCGCGGCCTGGGTTTCTCCGTCACGACGGATGGTGCTTGGCTGGCCCCACGGTCTCCACGGTGGGGACTCGCCTTCTCCCGCTCCCCTGGGGGCCAGTGGCCACGTGTGGGGGTCGTACAGGGGAGGCGGGTGGTGTGGGTAGAGGCCAAAGGCGCTGCTCAAACATCCTGCAAGGTCGAGGGTGGCCCCATCACAAAGGATGGTCTGGGCCCGGCCGGGGTGGCTCAGTGGTTGAGCATCCAGCTGGGAACCAGGAGGCCTCGGTTCGATTCCCGGTCAGGGCACAGGCCCCGGTTGCAGGCTCATCATCCCCAGTAGGGGGCGTGCAGGAGGCAGCCCATCAATGATTCTCTCTCATCATTGATGTTTCTCTCTCTCTCCCTCTCCCTTCCTCTCTGAGATCAATAAAAAAGAAAAGGAATGACCTGGGTGGTGCTGAGGCATCTTAATGGCTTTTTTATTTTATTTTAATATATTTTATTGATTTTTTACAGAGAGGAAGGGAGAGGGATAGAGGGTTAGAAATATCCATGAGAGAGAAACATCCATCAGCTGCCTCCTGCACACTCCCTACTGGGGATGTGCCCGCAACCAAGGTACATGCCCTTGACCGGAATCGAACCTGGGACCCTTCAGTCCGCAGGCCGACGCTCTATCCACTGAGCCAAACCGGCCGGGGCCTTAATGGCTTTTAAACACCTGCGTGCTGTGCAGAGCAAGGCCGTGCGCCTTACGTCGCAGGGAGAAAAGGCCCCTGAGGGCCGTTGGCTTGTGGGAGGCAGTGACTCCCAAGCATCGGCCGCGGAGGCCTGTGCGGTGAGCGAGAGCGTGGCCGCCCGGAGCTGGACAGCCTGGGCTCAGGCCCTGGGCCGCCTCTTCGGCGTTGGGCGCCGGGCAAGGCCTTCGATGCTGTGCCTCAGTTTCTTCAGCTGTCACACGGGAATGATCACGACACCGATGCACTTTCCCCGAGGATTCGATGAGTTCGTATTTGTAAGAAGCTCAGAAAAGCACTTGGGGGTGTTCAGGAAAGAAGATAAAATCGAGAGTCAGCTGCGTTTCCCGATAGCACGGCCGGGAGGTTCCTAAGGTGACTGTATGGCTGGCCCCACGGTCTCCACGGTGGGGACTCGCCTTCTCCCGCTCCCCTGGGGGCCAGTGGCCACGTGTGGGGGTCGTACAGGGGAGGCGGGTGGTGTGGGTAGAGGCCAAAGGCGCTGCTCAAACATCCTGCAAGGTCGAGGGTGGCCCCATCACAAAGGATGGTCTGGGCCCGGCCGGGGTGGCTCAGTGGTTGAGCATCCAGCTGGGAACCAGGAGGCCTCGGTTCGATTCCCGGTCAGGGCACAGGCCCCGGTTGCAGGCTCATCATCCCCAGTAGGGGGCGTGCAGGAGGCAGCCCATCAATGATTCTCTCTCATCATTGATGTTTCTCTCTCTCTCCCTCTCCCTTCCTCTCTGAGATCAATAAAAAAGAAAAGGAATGACCTGGGTGGTGCTGAGGCATCTTAATGGCTTTTTTATTTTATTTTAATATATTTTATTGATTTTTTACAGAGAGGAAGGGAGAGGGATAGAGGGTTAGAAATATCCATGAGAGAGAAACATCCATCAGCTGCCTCCTGCACCCCCCCTACTGGGGATGTGCCCGCAACCAAGGTACATGCCCTTGACCGGAATCGAACCTGGGACCCTTCAGTCCGCAGGCCGACGCTCTATCCACTGAGCCACACCGGCCGGGGCCTTAATGGCTTTTAAACACCTGCGTGCTGTGCAGAGCAAGGCCGTGCGCCTTACGTCGCAGGGAGAAAAGGCCCCTGAGGGCCGTTGGCTTGTGGGAGGCAGTGACTCCCAAGCATCGGCCGCGGAGGCCTGTGCGGTGAGCGAGAGCGTGGCCGCCCGGAGCTGGACAGCCTGGGCTCAGGCCCTGGGCCGCCTCTTCGGCGTTGGGCGCCGGGCAAGGCCTTCGATGCTGTGCCTCAGTTTCTTCAGCTGTCACACGGGAATGATCACGACACCGATGCACTTTCCCCGAGGATTCGATGAGTTCGTGTTTGTATGATGCTCAGAAAAGCACTTGGGGGTGTTCAGGAAAGAAGATAAAATCGAGAGTCAGCTGCGTTTCCCGATAGCACGGCCGGGAGGTTCCTAAGGTGACTGTACGTCCGTCTCCGGCCTTTGTCGTGCAGATTTATATCCCGCGTTTCCTCCAAAGGGTGTTAGTTTGTCGAATAAACCTAAGCAAGGCCTCAGTCACAGACAGTTCTCCACTCAGACCGGCCCAGGGCTTTTCAGAGGAAGAGGAGACGCTCTGGCGGGCCCCGGGGCGCGTGCTTCTGAAGCGGGGACCTGGGTGTCTCCCCGAGTCTCCCAGACGCGCAGGCAGAAAGGGGGATGCATTCCTTCCTGGCACGGGCAGGCCTGGGCGTGGCTCTCGCATCAGCGTCACCGAGAACTTGTGGGAATGAGCATTCCCGGGCCCGCCCAGACCCGCTGGAGAGAAACTCGGGGGGTGGGGGGACTCAGGTGCCCTCAGGAGTGAGAACCACTGGCTCCGGGTTCCCAGGCACAGGTCTCCCCATTGGGCTCCCGGTGAGGGGTGCAGCTCATAGGACGTGGGTGATGGTGCGTGAGCGCTCTCCTCTGTGACCCGCACCCGCTGCTAAGAGGTTATTGCAGTGAACAGCAAAGCCTGGGCCTCGGAGAACATCACCCCTTCTCAGGAGCCCTCTGGCTCCGGCAGGGGAGGCAGCGAAAGGCGCGGCGGCCTCGGCGATGAGGTCTGTCCTGTCCGGGCTGCCGGCTCCGTCAGCGCCCCCCCCCCCCCCGAAAAAAAAAATGGGGCGGAAAGAGTTTTTCCCGTTTTATTGAGTGGAAATGCGCTGATCAGGGAGCAAAAGGCGAGGTTGGATTCAGCTGTGGGCCTGCTGCCTGTCCGATCACAGCTCCTCAGCCGGTGCCCAGGGGTGGTGGGGGCGAGGTGAGCAGGCGGCCCTGCTGTTCGCGGCTCTGAAGTGCCCGCATGGGGGTGTCATGGCTACTGGTTGGGGGACACCTGATTCTGCCAGCCCGGTTGTGGTGGCGTTGCCCTGGCGATCCGTACCAGGCCTACCCGTGTGATCAGTGTGCTAATCCGAGACTTGGGAAACAATAACGTGTAGCAGCAAGGGGGAGGTTACGTAACAAGCAGGCTGGGCGGGCGGAGTCTCTGTCTCTGAGTCACAGGGGCTACCGGCCAGACCTCTGGGTTTTCTTCTTCTCTCTTTTTTAATCCTCAACTGAGGATATTTTCCATTGATTTTTAGGGAGAGTGAAGAGCGAGGGAAACAGAGAGAGACATCGATGTGAGAGAAACACATCCATTGGTTGCCTCCCACTGGCACCCAGGCCAGGGCCCAGGCCGGGGAGGAGCCTGCAACCGAGGTTCGTGCCCTTGACTGGAATCAAACCTGGGACCCTTTGGTCTGCAGCCGACACTCTACCCACTGAGCCACACCCGTCAGGGCAGACCTTCAGGTTTTGGTCCTGAATGCCAGCTCCATGCCCAGTCCCCGCCCAGTGCCCAGTGCTGTGCTCAGTGCTCAGTACTCAGTGCCCAGTACTCAGTGCCCAGTACTCAGTGCTGTGCTCAGTGCCCAGTGCCCAGTGCTGTGCTCAGTGCCCAGTGCCCAGTACTCAGGGCCCAGTGCCCAGCACTCAGTGCCCAGTGCCCAGTGCTCAGTGCCCAGTACTCAGTGCCCAGTACTCAGTGCTCAGTGCTCAGTGCCTAGTACTCAGTGCCCAGTACTCAGTGCTCAGTGCTCAGTGCCTAGTACTCAGTGCCCAGTACTCAGTGCTCAGTGCTCAGTGCCTAGTACTCAGTGCCCAGTACTCAGTGCTCAGTGCTCAGTGCCTAGTACTCAGTGCCCAGTACTCAGTGCTCAGTGCTCAGTGCCTAGTACTCAGTGCCCAGTACTCAGTGCTCAGTGCTCAGTGCCTAGTACTCAGTGCCCAGTACTCAGTGCTCAGTGCTCAGTGCCTAGTACTCAGTGCCCAGTACTCAGTGCTCAGTGCTCAGTGCCTAGTACTCAGTGCCCAGTACTCAGTGCTCAGTGCTCAGTGCCTAGTACTCAGTGCCCAGTACTCAGTGCTCAGTGCTCAGTGCCTAGTACTCAGTGCCCAGTACTCAGTGCTCAGTGCTCAGTGCCTAGTACTCAGTGCCCAGTACTCAGTGCTCAGTGCTCAGTGCCTAGTACTCAGTGCCCAGTACTCAGTGCTCAGTGCTCAGTGCCTAGTACTCAGTGCCCAGTACTCAGTGCTCAGTGCTCAGTGCCTAGTACTCAGTGCCCAGTACTCAGTGCTCAGTGCTCAGTGCCTAGTACTCAGTGCCCAGTACTCAGTGCTCAGTGCTCAGTGCCTAGTACTCAGTGCCCAGTACTCAGTGCTCAGTGCTCAGTGCCTAGTACTCAGTGCCCAGTACTCAGTGCTCAGTGCTCAGTGCCTAGTACTCAGTGCCCAGTACTCAGTGCTCAGTGCTCAGTGCCTAGTACTCAGTGCCCAGTACTCAGTGCTCAGTGCTCAGTGCCTAGTACTCAGTGCCCAGTACTCAGTGCTCAGTGCTCAGTGCCTAGTACTCAGTGCCCAGTACTCAGTGCTCAGTGCTCAGTGCCTAGTACTCAGTGCCCAGTACTCAGTGCTCAGTGCTCAGTGCCTAGTACTCAGTGCCCAGTACTCAGTGCTCAGTGCTCAGTGCCTAGTACTCAGTGCC